AGAGGCAGGTGAATCTCTGTGAATTCCAGGCCAGCCTGGACTACAGAGTGAGTTCCAGGATAGCTAGGACTGTTACAGAGAGAAATCCTGTCTTGAAAAACCAAACCAGACCAAAGGAAAAAAAAAGAGTGATTGCTGGGACTGGCTTTTCCCGGGCTAATTGCTGGGACCAGCTTCTCCTGGGCTGATCGCTGGGATTGGTTTTCCCTGGGCCCTTGGGCTTCTTAGTTAGCCGAGGGTCTACTTTAGGAAAAGTGACTTCTCCTATCATCTGGTGACTGATGACAGAGATGTTCACCTAGAGTCTTAGTAAATGGAGTTAGTGTTTCTGACCCTCTGGGTAGAGAGGCTCAATACCACCTGAGCTATGTTGGGATGCGAGGAAAACGTCTTATGACTGGAGGTCAAGAGGAGTGACATCTTTGGGCTTCAGTTTCCTTGCCTGCCAAAGGAAATATGATACCCATTTGTACTATTCAGGACATCAAGGGCACTAAACCCAGGACTGTGAGGGGTGGTCATACAGAGCTGCCCATCCAAACCCAGGGCTTGTTGTTGCCGTCAGTGTTGGCCCCGATGAGGGAGCTTGATGAAGATCATCTGTGTAACCCCAAAGGCTCAACACCCCTCCCACATTCCCGATAGACGGTCTTGGAAAGCATGGTGGAGTGACAAGAAGCTTTCGGGAGCAAATGGCCGGCAGCTGTTTTATTAGGGCAATTCTTGGGATTTCACACAGGGAGCTTGGATGGGAGCAAGGTTAATAAGTAACTTAGGTGACATAAGGGGCAAAGTCTGGATTCAGCCCACGTCTTTTGGGTTGCTTTTGTCTCTCTGGCCTGGGTATCTGGGCCTCTTGAGGAGACTTCGCTTTGGTTCGTGCAGTTTTCCCGTGCCCATCTTCATTCTAACACTGGATGGGGCTTCCCTGGGCTGTCAAACAAATCCACAGGATCTTCAAGTCCTCCATGTGCAGCTGGGGCAGCTAACGCTTGGGTCTCCTCATCCCCGTTCATTCTCCTGTATCCACCACCCCATCCTGCCCCATGCTAGTTGATTTTGTTGCACTAGTGGGTGTGTAGAGGGAAACAACAGTAGTCTGTGAGACAGGGGACTGCTCTCCTTCAGGGACCCCCCCCCCCCAATCAAATAGCCTGAGGGAGGATGGGCCAGAGAGAATAAGAACTGGCCAGAGTCTCTGCTGAGAAACCCGACTCAGGCTGTGCCATCTCTACTAGATGATTCTGATGTTTCTACTTAAAATTCAGTCTTGTACCTCCATTTGGTTGACGAATCGACCCTGATTTTTTTTTGCCTATTTTGCATGTTCACCATATTTATTTGTTCAGTCTTCCTTTCTAGAGAACCCTTCAGGAGAGTAAAGGCCACAGGCACTCCCAAATGCGTAGAGCCAGCTTGACATATGGAGGGTGCTTCAGGAGTGTCTAGGGAAGTGTGTGTGTGTGTGTGTGTGTGTGTGTGTGTGTGTACATTGTGTTGGTAGGACAACAGAAAGATGAGGCGAGCCACAGTATCACATGAGGGGGTGGGAGGGTGTCTCAGTGAACCTGACCTGGGCTCTAGTCAATGCTGGCTGTCCAGATGGATCACAGGAACCTGCCCTGGCTGTCAGAGAAGGCAGTAATCCCTGTTGTTGTCCTGACCCGTGTGTAGCCTACTGTGGGCAGCTTTCCCTTCATGGCCCACCCATCATCCCATGCAGCTGCACAGTGGGTTTAGCTTTGTCTTGGCTGGAAGACTCCAAAACTTAACCAGGTGAAGTCATTTGCCAGAGAAACTTGAGCCTCTTTCCTGAGTGGTGTGGCCCTCCTGTGATCTGTCTGGCTCTGCCCAGTGACCTGCCCATGGGCAAGCCTCTAACATTTTTCTTCTGTAGTTGGGGTCCTCATCTATAAATGGGGATTTTGCCAGAACCGGGAGTGGTCTGTTTTACCAAGCTGCTATTCTGGAATGCTATTCCCAGGCCATGGAAGTGATTGTACTATGGGGGACACTGGAAGGTGCCAGGATCACTCTGTGTCCCCTCATACTCTGTGGGAAAGGCAGTTGCTTCCAATTCTTGTAGGTCTCAGAGGGAGCACCACCTACATAGGGGCCAAGGGTTAAGTATCCTGATCGCTATGGTTGGGCAGGGCACCATCTAACAACCCTATGCTGGGGCCTGGATAACAAAGAGGCCCCTCCCTAGAAGGCAACTGGGCTTGTAGGGCATACAGCCACCTGTTATATAAAAGCTCTCCCCACACCTGCTCCATCACAGTGCCAGGATCCACCTTTCTAGGGACAGTGTCCCTGACTGGACCCAGAAGGTGAGTGGACTCCGAGGCTGGAGCCTGATGCTGGGAGAAGCTGGAGAAGCTGAATCCTGGGGCGGGCGTGGCTTTGAGGGCATTCAGGCTTGCTCTGGGTAGTGTTCAGGGTGTTCTCGAGGTTCTTTTCTGCCAGTGCTGCCCACTGCTGCCCTGTTCTCAGGTTGGGGAGGCTGGAGTAGAGGTTGGGGCTGTGGGTGTGTTTGCTTGGCATTTTGTTGTCCTTGTGGCACGGTGTCTCTGAGCTCCTGCTTCCCTGGCAGATGTGATCAATGCTGCAGCATGCTGTCAGTGCGCTGGAAGATTTACTAATAGATTGTTGCAAGGCAGGGAAGGGACTGGAGATGCAGCTCAGTTGGGAGAGTGCTTGTCTAAGAAGCAGGAAGTTCTGGGTTCGATCCCTAGGGCTTCATTATGTGGGTATGGTGGCACAGGTCTGTCATCCCAGCACTCAGGAGGCAGAGGCAGGAGGATTAGAAGTTAAAGATCATCCTTGATCATGTAGCCAGTTTGAGCCTAGCCTGGGCTATACGAGACCTTGTTCTTCTGGCAAAAGGAAGCGATTAACAGGTCTCATGTCCTACACAGGATTGTCTCTGCCTCTCTGCTGTCTGCTAGCCAGGTCCTCACTTCTCTGGGTTTGAAATAAGACTCACCATCAAGCTGGTGGGAGCTGGGTGATTTGTGCAGTCAATGCCCTTCTGTGATTGCTTTACCCCCAAGTTTTGTCTCCCTTCCCCTCCTCCTGCACAGTGACAATGCTCTAGAGGTCTTTCCCCAGCAGCTGGGGTTCCAGGCCTGGAGGGCTGTCTTGGTATACGGAGGAACATGTAGCTGAGTGCAGAGCCGTGTGTCACGTACTCCACATAAGACATACTCGATTTGCCCTCTGGGTTTCTAAACCGTGTGTGGTCACTGGGAATGCATACAGGTTTTTGTCTCTTGGCTGGGCTAGCTTCCCTTATTTTTTACTAGTCCCTTGTCAGTCAGCCAGAAGGCTATGCTGCTGTGCGTGCTGTGTGGTGAGATGTGTGTTTGATCTGCAGTACAGGACAGAGCAGGAAGAGGGGTATCCTGAGACAAGGTCAGCTTTGCTTCAGTCTGTGACAGCTGTCATGGGGCAGTCAAGCTTCAGAGCGGGCCCACTGGTGAGCCTGGCTGCTTCTGCTTCTGCCAGAGGTTGCATGTCTGTGGGATGGAGACACCAGCCTGTCGTCAGGCAGAACTATTCACTGGGGCTCCACGGGAGACAAGTGTTCTGTCTGCCATGGTTAGTGGCAGCTGCTCAGTACATGTGACCGTTGACATCTGAACAGTGAGCGGTTCCTGTGCCAAGGGACAGGTGCGTCGTTACCTACCTCGAATGAGTTAACCTAAGGAGCCACATTGGCTATGGCTGACATTTATAGGGTAATAAGATTATTATCAAGGAGAGTTCCGTGCAAATGTTTGCTTTCCCCGCTGCATTGNTATCAAGGAGAGTTCCGTGCAAATGTTTGCTTTCCCCGCTGCATTGCTACTCAGACAAAGAGAAATTCCTTGAGCTGTGATTTAGGATCATAACAAATGCGACAAAAACCTAGCAAGCCCCGAAGATCTAATTCAGATGACTGGCAGGTAAGGAAGGCCAAGTACTAAGAAATTGATGCTACATTAATCTAACTCAGGAGCTTCAATGCGTTCAGGCCCTGGCTTCTGAGGTGTGCCACATGAGTTGGATGCAGAATGGAGTGGGTGTCTGAACTGTATCCCAGCTCTGACACCCCCAGCAGTAAGAGCTTGGTTCTGAGAGCATCACTTCTCTTCTAGGGCTCAGTCTTGTCCAAGTGCTAAGAAATTACTCAGATTAGTGTATGTACAGGGCTTGGAACAGAACAAGGGCTATCTGCATAGGTGGTGGCCTCAAAGCCCCTGAGCATCAAAGTGAGTGCAGGAGACCCCTGCAGGGAGAAGAGACAGTGTACTCTGGAGGGGTGGGAGGACACAGATCCTGTGGCAGGGGAGACAAGGGGACTCCAAAACCCTAGGGAGGTGAGGAGGACTCAAACCCAGGGCCACTGTTTTTATCTGGGACCCTGTTTTTATTTGGGATCTCAGATATACCACAAACGCCTGGTCATTAGCTGTGGTTCTAGAGTGAGATGCTGGAACCTTTAGGAGGGTGGCCTGGGAGGAGGAAGTTAGCTCATTGAGTGAGACCCTGGAACAGGCTCCTCTTTCCTGGTCACTCCCTGGCTGCATTTGGTGACCAGACCTCCTTTGATATGAACTTCCACAAAGGCCCGCATGATGGGACAAAATGACTGACACCTCTGAAGCCATGAATCTTATAAATTGGTTATGAATCAGGGATTTTGTCATAGTGACAGAAATCTGACAGATATGTAACTCGGCCCCAGCAGACCTGGAAATTGCTCTGTCTGCCCATTTGCAGCTGAAACATTTGCCTTGCGTCAGGACAGGATGGATGAGAGCCACAGTTCTGTGTACCCGTGCAGGACTGAGCTTTCTGCCCCAGAAACAAGGACAGACCCCGTACTAAGCTTGTTTCAGTGTCTTTCAAACACTTTTGATGGTAGGCATTCCTCCAAGATCCTGGACTGTCCTCTTTTGTCTTTCCAGGTTTGAGTCTCCGTGGCCCCACCCTTGGGAGAAGCCAGCCCCGCCATCATGAAAGGCATTCTCATTGCTGGTGTCTTTGCGGCGTTTGCCATCACAGTTATAGGTGAGAGAAGCCCCCTTCTGGATAAAGTCTTCTTTCCCACCACATCAGAGCATCCTTGCTCTTGGCATCCTGGTACATACTACCAGACCTGTTGTGTTGTGTGAGACCCATGTGTTTACTCTGACTTTAGAGAGACCACTCTGCTGGTGGTCAGGGTTGGTTCTTCCTGTTGATGACTGGTGAACAATAGGAAGAAATTAGTGGGCATTGCTCTATCTCATAGGATCAGTTTGGGGGATCTTCAGAGGACAGTTGGGTATCTCATCTGTATCTTTCTTCCTGTGGTGGGTGTGGTGCTCTGGGAATGTCTACTGGTTGTTGACTTCTGTGAATACTTTCTCTACTCAGACTCCCTGGATTGTAGGCAGTGTACCACAAACGATGACATTAAGAGCTGCAAGGATGAAGCCTCTTCATGTGGTGAAAGTACAGATTTTGTGAGTTGTGTGGAGTCCTTGGTCAATTCCACTCTAGGTGAGTGGGGTTGCCTCTGTCTCTGGGACTTGTGGGATGTGGGAGCTAAAGAAGGTGAGCACAAGGAAGTACATCTGGGTTGGGGCTGTGCTGTGCTTGTGCAGTGAGACTAGTGGGTGGTGAAGGCAACTCCCTACTGCCTGAGGTGAGCAGGGCTGCATGTTAATTCAGGCACAGAATCAAACAAGCAAATAAACCCTGTGGTGTATTGGAAATCAATCCCACTGATCAAAACTTCACCGTCGATACATTTTTTTTTTTGGTAGATGTAGACAGCAAGAGCAACTCAGAGCTAAATAAGAAGCAAGTATCTTGCCTGGGATATTTTTTTTCAGCCATCCCTTCTCTCAATCTCCTGGTGCCTTTCTCTTCTAGATCAAATATATTTTCCTTGGTGAGCCCCTCCCCAGGCAGTCTACGGATGGGAACCTTTTGAGGCACTTAGAGTCCTTCCATGCACAAAAGAGAGAAGGACAACAAACTGACATCTTAACCTTGGCTTTGGTCAACAAGGGGGCTCAGGAGATGGTCAATCAATAAAGTACTTGCTCCACAAACAGGAGGACCTGAGCTTGTCTCTTGGCCTCTATGCAAAAAGGATAGTCAGGATAATGCATGCCTGTAGTCGCAGTGGGGAGCAGCCAAGACAAGGTGATTCCTGGAGCTTGCCATCTAAAACTGGTGGGGTCCAGATCAGCTCAAGAGCCTTCACCAAAAAATAAATCAGAGAGTTATTCAGAAAGTCAGTGATGATCTCTGCCTTTTGAATGCTGGGATTACAATTATACACCAACATGGCCAGCTAACTTTACTTAATGGTTTTTGGTTGTTTTTCTGTGGTAATGGACATTAAATTCAGGGCTTTGCATATGTCAGACAAACAATCTACCACAGAGCTACACATCCAGTCCCTTAATTTATTTTGACCAATCTATATTTAATGTAACAGCCATATATAGCTGATGTCTCTGTACCGGGTAGCTCTGTCTGGGTTCTCATGCAGTTTCTAGGAAGGAGCTGTAGGTGGTAATGTGATGTATCATATACCAAATCCCAATGTGTCTATTTTGTTATATTTTGAGATGCTAAGACAAATTAGTGGCCTGGGAGGGCTGTATATGTGTTAGACTAAACCACCATTTTCTGGTGTTCCTCCTGCCTACCATTTGTACCCAAACTTTTGACATCATGATACAACATTGTCACCCACGAAGTTCATGTTCAAGTACTAAGAGAGTGTGGTTAACAAAAAAAATTGTGAAAACTTTTAATAACGTATTAATTAACTTTACAACTTTGTGCTGGATCTCATTTACATCTCTCCTGGTTGCACGTGACCACATGAGGCTCACAAGACTCAGATTAGCTAATGGTAGAGTTTAATTCATCTCTGCTAATCTGATGAAGGAAACAGTTCTCTAATGGGGAAGGGTTATCTCTTTGTTTCCCCCCACCTCCTTGAGACAAGTTATTATTATGTATCTCTGGCTGACCTGGAATTCACTGTGTAGACCAGGCTGGTCTCAAACTCACAGATATCTGTCTGCCTCTGTGTTCCAAGTGGTGGGGTTATAGCGTGCACCACTATGCCCTACTGGGTTCTTCTTGTTTTGAGAAACTTTCTCCAGTCTCTCCCAAGCTGTGCTGAACAGAGGTTCAAGTCAACTGCCCCCTGTATGAAGTACTGTCTCCTCAGGAATCTGTTCTCACTGGAGTGTCTTCAGATGCTAACAGTCTGTGTTTACCTTGATGTAGGAGGGTCTCAGCCTTTGTACCAGGAAAGGTCCTGCTCGGCAAGTAATTGCGAGACCATAATTCAAGCAGACTTCACGGTGCGTTTGCCTGATGCTCAACAATATCATTTTGTAAGCCAGTGCTGCCAAGGAGAGGCATGCAAGGACACAGGTTTGTACCAGGCCCAGCAGCCTGTCCTGTGTCACACCTTCATGCTCCACCCTTGATTTTCTGACCGCTTTGCTTGGCTGGTGATGGATGTCTCAAGTTCAGGCACTTTAGCACACAGGTGGATGACATCGATATTTGACTTATCGCAATCACAAAAGAAACACAGGAGGTACTCAGCCAGCACAAATACCATGCTTTCTCCTTCTTCAGTGAAGATGCGGATCTCATTTGTGTGGCAAGTGAAGCAAGTGCTCATTAGTCATTCTTAAACTTTGTGATATCAGGGCCTCAACCACCAGTTTCTTTAGACAGTATCTCCTTACTAGAGCAGTCTAGGCTCACTTCAAAGTTGCTACAGAGCCAAGGATGACCTTCACCCAGTCCTCCTGCCTCTGTCTCCTGAGTACTGGGATTGTAGGTGTGTGCCACCACACCTGACAACATTCTAAGTTTCAGTAACAAGAGAAATTCCACAAGTCTTTTGTTTATATGGTCTCTTCCTGTTGACATTTACCAGGTTAGAAATTTTTTAAAAATATTTTCTATGGTTTATTTAACTTTATTTTATGTGCATTGGTGTAAAGGTGTCAGATCCCCTGCAACTGGATCTTCAGACAGTTGTGAGCTGTCATGTGGGTGCTGAGAATTGAACCCTGGTCCTCTGGTAGAGCTTAACTACTGAGCCATCCCTCCAGCCCAATAAATTAATTTTTATTGCTACTTGATAATTGTAATTTTGCTGCTAAGTGGTGTCTCAGTTCCTAAGACCATTGGAAATACGTTGAGAACTGCTGATTGAGAAGACAAAAAAAATGTGGGCAGTGATGGTGAAGTTCATTCTCATAAGCACAGACAGAAGCAGGGCTGGTTTTCAATGTGATTTTTTTTCTCTCCATCACAATATGAAAATGGACCTTATTCATCTGCTCAGGACAAGTCTTAACACCAGTCAGATACCTGTTGGCTAATGCTTCAAACAGCTGCTGGCACTGACGTTGGCTATAGCTTGGATTCTTTCCTTTCTTGCTCATGTCAACCCCAGAGCACTGTGGACCACCGTTCTTGCAGACTGGCTGCCCCATAAGGGTGGGCCTCAGGGGTTGTGCATAGGAAATCTTTGGACAAAACATGTGTCTTTAGGGATAGATCTGAGGTACCCGGTTGCAGACTCTTCATCAGCTTCTCTGCCTGCCTGTCTGCTCCTTCCCAGGACAGTGTGATAACACGATTCTAAGTAATGACTTTCCTTTACCCAGACCCTGGACCACGGAATCTCACCAACACCCAGTGCTCTTCTTGCTATAGCACTAACCAAGGAGCCTGCAACGAGACAACCCAACAGTGTTTTGAAGGAGAGCAATGTGTCCACATCATTGTTCAGCATGGAAGTGGTAAGTCTGGGGCTTCAATTCCTTAAAAGGGCTGGGGCTGAAACGCATCAAGTCCTGTGCTAAGAAGGGCAGAAGGACTGGAGAGGGTGGAAGCAGTCTGGGGTTCAGCTCAGAATGCCTTTCAGCTAGAGACTGCCAGGAAGCCTTCTGTTGGTTGTCACTTCTGCTCTTAAGTCCAGGCTGCTTCTGGTTACCTTTCTCCTGCCCTCCTGTGGTCACATTCCAGATTCACTTACCTGACTGCATGACCCTCCGGTACTTATTTTGGTACTAGGCTGCCATTGCTCAGTAAGAGTGGATAGGTGTGACTTATTTGTTTTTATATCTCTATATATGTTTCTCCTACATATTGAGAGGTGTTGGCTTGGGGCAGCTAGGGTCATCTGGTTATTTCTCTTTTCCTACCAATGTAACTTAATAGTGGCCACCATTTTGCCAGAGTATCCACCATGCCTAACAACAGCTTGCAGTGCACATTTGTATCTTGCTAAAGGAACATCCTGGGGGTCACTACTGCCCTGTAGCTCTTGTTAGGCTGGGAGCCTAGGTCCCAGTCCCTGGCATCTATCTTAGCCACCTGGTCTGGACTTCAGCACGCCACTCCCCAGGGTACTTAAGTGATCCCCCAAAAGAAGAACACGTAGTCCCCCTTTCTTCCTCCCGGGGGTCGCATTCCTGCGGCTTCCCGGTTTCCCTCCTCGGGGCCACCCGAGAGCGCAGATCTTCCATTAAACCTGGATATTTCTTAATTCGGTTTGTTTTGATTTGGCTTGATTGGGAATTTTTGCGTCGTCAGAGAGCTTGCTTAGGAAATATTCCTAACATTTTGGAGGTCCCACCGAGACCCCCTAACAGGGTTTAAGGCCTGTACCTAAATACAAATGTCAAGTTTTGTTGTCAAATTCAAAGCCTACCTATAACTATGGAGTTTCCAGTAGATCCAAGCCTCTATAGATTTTCTTATTCCAGAATGTCTGTTCTCTCCCTTTTACTTTCTCTGTGTCTCTGTGTATCTCTATCTCTTTCTTCTTCATCCCCTGGAGCCTCAAACATGCAAAACATACATTGTAACTCTGAGTTAAACCACAGCAAAAGGTCACTTTCCTTGAAATGGTTGAGGTGCCCATACTGCCCTGGTTTTTAATTTAAAGTTCTGTCTAAAGGCAGCAGAAGACCTCTGTTCATCTCATGCCTGTGTTTCCTGATGCTGTCGTCTCTCTGATGCTGAAAACCAGGCAGGCCACAAATGGATCTTTCCTTGCTTGTTTTGTCCAACATCATTTTGTTTCTTTTTCTCTTTTCTTTTCTTTTCTTTTTTTTTTTTTTTTTGAGACAGGGTTTCTCGTTTCTCTGTAGCTTTGGAGCCTGTCCTGGAACTGGAACTAGCTCCTGTAGACCAGGCTGGCCTCGAACTCACAAAGATCCATCTGCCTCTGCCTCCCAAGTGCTGGCACCACCACCTGGCTTCAATGTCACTTTTAAATTTCTATCAAGATGTGCCTAGCACTGCACTTCCTGACTCAGGTTAGCTCGACTCTCAGCACTGATACCTGGGATGAAACAACAGCAAACTTTATTTGCTGGGGTTTGGAGGTCTCTTTCACACATTGTGCTCTGACAGAACCAAGTCCCTTCATACTCTTGAGTCCCTTCAGGCCTCTAGGAGCTCCCTGTCTCCCAGGGATGCTTGAGTTGCTGCTGACAGACCCATAGGTGCACAACCACTTAGAAGTAGCTGCTATTATAACAATATCGTTGAAAGCGCTGGAAACCCTTTTTTTTTAATCATTTTTTTTTTTATTTTACAAACCAACCACAGTTTCCCCTCTCTCCTCTCCTCCAGTTCCCTCATCTCACCTCCCTTCTACCCATCCCCCATCTACTTTTCTGTTTCCATTCAGAAGGGGTAAGGCCTCCCATGGGAATCAACAAAGCACAGCAAATCAAGTTGAGGACCAAGCTCCTCCCCGCTGCATTAAGGTTGAACAAGACATCCCACCATAGGGAATAGGTTCCAAAGAGCCTGCTCATGCATCAGGGCCAGGTCCTGGTCCTACTGCTGGGAACCCACAAAAGACCAAGCTGCACAACTGTCATCCAGGTGCAAAGGGCCTAGGTTGGTGAAAGAAATGCTAGAATGGGCTGGAGCCCAGGGTGCCTACTGATTCATTTCCTTATGAAAGAAGAGTTGAAAGAAAGAACTACCCCTGAGCCTGTTACCCAGGCTTGCCTTTTTTCCCTCCCCCCTCATCTTCCTCTTCTCTTTCCTTCTTTTTCTATTCCCTCCCCTCTGTGTTTTTCCTGATTGAGTCTTGCCATGTAGTTGAGGCTAGCCTTGAACTCATGATCTTCCTGCTGCAGTCTCCCAAGCACTGGGCTTGCAGATGTGCACTACCATGCCCCGTTTGTTCTTGGCCTTTTCATCTGTCAACTCCACAAAAACACAAGATATGGGGCATCCAAGATCCAGCTCCTATTCTTTCTTTAAGCCTAGGTTTGCAACCCACCTCTCACAGTCTCAGTTGCTTTTGAGGTTGGGCAAGGAGGGGTCTGCCCCCTGACCTTCATAGTTCTTGTACTGTTACTGTCTGGTGTTTTTTTAAAAAATATTTATTATGTATACAATATTCTGTCTGCATGTATGCCTGAGGGCCAGAAGAGCACACCTGACCTCATTACAGACGGTTGTGAGCCACCATGTAGTTGTTGGGAATTGAACTCAGAACCTTTGAAAGAGCAGGCAATGCTCTTAACTGCTGAGCCATCTTTCTAGCCTTGTCTGGTATTCTTAACTCTGGACTTCTTTGAATGTGACTGATAGAAGAGGGGCTGCTGCATGCTGCTCAACTGCTTGCAGATAAACACTTGCATGGGCTGGGGCTTGGGCGGTAGGGTTGTATAGAGTTATAGAGTTCTAACTGTCTCATTTGTATCTTCAGGCGAGGAGTCTGTTACAGAAGAGCTGAAAGGCTGTTCTGATATCAGTGATGCTACTTGCAAAGCCCTGGATTCTGAGAGCGCAAAAATTGGAGAATTCACTTTCCAGAAAGTTAACTGCACAAAAGCGACCATAATCCCAGAAGTCACCACCACCACGACCCCAACCACAGTCACCACGACCCCTAGCACAGTCACCACGACCCCTAGTACCAGCACAACCATCAAAGCTTCCTTCATCTCCTCTGTCTTTGGCAGCCTCCTTCTTCTGAAGCTGCTATTCTGAGGTCCCTGGGCTCTGCCCCACCCAGTGTCCCNAACACCCAGTGCCCTTCTTGCTATGGCAATAACACAGAACCATGCAATGAGACAACCCAACAGTGTTCTGAAGGAGAGCAATGTGTCCACATCATTATCCAGTATGGAAAAGGTAAGTCTGGGGTTTCAATTTCTTAACAGGGCTGGAGCTGGAACATGTCAGGATTCAAGTGCTGAGTAAGAAGGGCAGAAGGGAGGGTGGAAGCAGAGTGGGGTTCAGCTCAGGATGTCCTTCTAGAGACTGCCAGAAGCCTTCTGCTGGCCACCACTTCTGCTCCTACTCCAGTGCTACTTCTGGTTGCCTCCTATGGTCACATTCCAGACTCACATACCTGACTGCATGTCCCTCGGGTACCAGTGTGTTTATCCTGGCTATCAGGATTCTTGGGAATGTGATTTAGTGACTTCCAAGAAGGAAAAAAAAAGTGGTACAAACCAAAAATGAATAACCAGCCTGTCTCAGATATAAGACAGCTCACACTAAAAGGATTTAAGACCTGCACCTATATACAAATTTCATTTCAATTTTTGCTTGTCAACTTCAAAGCCTACCTATAACAAGGTGTTTCCGGAAGATCCAAGCATCCTATTTTTTAAAGCCTTTAAAAATATTTTTTAAAGAGATATTTTAGATCCACAGTAACGCTGAGTTAGAGGCATAGACATTCTTCATGTACCCCGACTGCCTGGCTCATGTGTAATTGTCCTCATTGTCAAAGTGCTCACACCACAGTGGTAAGCCTACACGGGCACTCACTGTCAGCCAAGTCTGCAGTTTGCCTCAGGGTTCACTCCTGATATAGTCCATTCCAGCATGACGATGTCACATAGAGGAAGGCCCTCTGCCCTGAGAGTCTTCTGTGTCTCACCTGATCATGCTTTTCTTCCTCCCCACAAGATCCTGGCACCCACTGGTCTTTTACATCACCTCTATAGATTTTCTTATTCCGGAATGTCTGTTCTCTCCCTCTTACTTTCTCGGTGTCTCTGTGTTTCTCTATTTCTCTTTCTTCTCCATCCCCTGGAGCCTCACACATGCAAAACACACATTGTACCACTGAGCTAAACCACAGCAAAAGGTCACTTTTCTTTTGAAATAGTTGAGCTGCCCACACTGCCCTAGTTTTTAAAGTTGTGTCTAAAGGCAGCAAAAGACCTCTGTTCATCTCATGCCTGTGACTCCTGATGGCGTCGTCTCTCTGATGCTGAAAATCAGGCAGGCCACAAATGGACTTTTCCTTGCTTGTTTTGTCCAACATCACTTTCAAAATCCCATCCAGATGTGCCTAGCACCACACTTCCTGACTCAGGTTAGCTTGACTCTCAGCACTGATATCTGGGATGAAACAAGAGTAAATTTTATTTGCTGGGGTTTGGAGGTCTCTTTCACACATTATGCTCTGACAGAACCAAGTCCCTTCATACTCTTGAGTCCCTTCAGGTCTCTGGGAGCTCCTTGTTTCCCAGGGATGCTTGAGTTGCAGCTGGCAGACCCATAGGGGCACAACCAATCAGAGGTAGCTGCTATTATAACTACATCTTTGAAAGAGCTGGAGACCTTTTTATTTTAATTTTTTTTTTTACAAACCAACCACAGTTTTCCCTCCCTCCTCTTCTCCAGTTCCCTCATACCACCTCCCTTTTACCCATCCCCCATCTACTCCTCTTCTGTCTCCATTCAGAAGGGGTAAGGACTCCCATGGGAATCAACAGAGCTTGGCATATCAAGTTGAGGCAGAATCAAGCTCCTCTGCATCAAGGATGAATAAGGCTTCCCACCATAGGGAATAGGTTCCAAAGAGCCTGCTCATGCATCAGGGACAGGTCCTGGTACCACTACTAGGGCTCCACAAGAGACAAGCTACACAACTGTCATCCAGATGCAAAGGGCCTAGGTTGGTGAAAGAAATGCTGAAGTGGGCTGGAGCCCAGGGTGCCCACTAATTCATTCCCTTCTGAATGGAGAGTTGAAAGAACTGCCCCTGAGCCTGTTACCCATGCTTGCCTTTTCCCCTCCCCCCTCATCTTCTTCTTCTCTTTCCTTCTTTTTCTATTCCCTCCCCTCTGTGTTTTTTCCTGATTGAATCTTGCCATGAAGCTGAGGCTAGCCTTGAACTCATGATCTTCCTGATGCAGTCTCCTAAGCACTGGGCTTGCAGGTGTGCACTACCATGCTCTGTTTGTTCTTGGATTTTTCATCTGTCAACTCCACAGGAACACAAGACATGGGGCATCCAAGATCCAGCTCCCATCCTTTCTTTAAGCCTGGATTAGCAACCAACATCTCACAGTCTCAGTTGCTTTTGAGGTTGAGTAAGGAGGGGTCTGGCCCCTGATCTCCATAGTTCTTGTACTGCTACTGTCTGGTATTCTTAGCTCTGGACTTCTTTGAAGGTGACTGATAGAAGAGGAGCTGCTGCATGCTGCTCAACTGCTTGCAGATAAATAAATCTGCATGGGCTGGGGCTTGGGCAGTAGGGTTGTATAGAGTTATAGAGTTCTGATTGTCTCATTTGTATCTTCAGGCGATAATCCTGTTAGAGAAGAGCTGAAAGGCTGTTCGGATATCAGCGATGCTACTTGTCAAGCCCTGGGTGAGAAAGGAGAATTTGGAGGATTCACTTTCCAGACAGTTAACTGCACAAATGCAACCATAATCCCAACCACAGTCACCACGACCCCAACCACAGTCACCACGACCCCTAGCACAGTCACCACGACCCCTAGCACCAGCACAAGCATCAAAGCTTCCTTCATCTCCTCTGTCTTTGGCAGCCTCCTTCTTCTGAAGCTGCTATTCTGAGGTCCCTGGGCTCTGCCCCACCCAGTGTCCCATGGGCATCAATGCCCTTTCTGTTCACATACCTTCCAGTTTAGTTGCTCAGTGGGTTGGAAGTCGCAGGACTCCAGGCAATGCTAGCAGCCTCATTATGTCCTTTATTAAAGTGTTGTTTGACTTCTAGACAGTCTGTCCTGATATGTTCGGTGCTGGGTGTAGTTCAAGACCCTGCCCACCTCTTCTCATCTTGCCTGGAGGTAGGGTCTTTGCTCTGGAGATAGAATCTTCTTTGCCTCAGGACTCAATGACATCCCTGCTCCTGGTCCACATTGTTTCTGAGAAGCTGAACCTGTGGCCTTGCTGGCACCTTCTGTTAGCATCCCTGTACTCCAGC